GCGCTGTCGACAGGCACATGCGAAGCCAGCAGCTGACGGAACACGATGCCGATCGTCGGCGGCATGTCGCTGAGGTTCTTGTAGACGTTTGTCGTAGTCACCGCCCCACGGGAGGTGGACGTCGAGCCCGCCGCTTTCTTGAGCAGCCTGGCCCCCTTCTGCTTGCGCTCCTCACGCGCCTCCTCATAGGCACGCTTAGCTCCCGAAGGCGGCGTGGTTGCTGGCGTAGGCGTAGCCGGCGTGGCTGGCGCTACCTGAGACGGCGTAGTTGCATCCGCTTTCGGGCCATCCGCTGCTGGCGTAGCTGCCGTCGGAGGCGGCGTTGGCGGAGTCGTTGCCGTCGCTGGGGTCGAAGTAGCTGCCGTCGGAGGCGCTGCCGTAGCTGCCGTCGGAGGCGCTGCCGTAGGTGCCGTCGGAGGCGTAGCTGCCGTCGGAGGCGCTGCCGTAGCTGCCGTCGGAGTCGTTGCTGTCGCTGGGGTCGAAGTAGCTGCTGACGACGGCTTTGCCGACGGGCGCGGACGAGGGATCATCCTGCCGTCCTCGGTCTTCACTACATCAGAACCTTGCGTCCCGTCATCACCACCTCCGAGGTCGACGATGATGTGCTTCTGCAGCGCGGGGCTAGTGAGCCTGGGAAGCCACGGCGTAGGCTTGATGACCTTCTCGTTCGACGCGACGTCGTTCTTCTCGAGCCCCGATGCCAAGTCCAGATCCGCTGCCAAAGTCGGCTTCTCCATCTGCCGTCGATGCAAGGCGTCCAACTCGCCCAGGCTGTCACGCAACATGCTGTCGCTGAGACCGAACTGAGACTGGGATGCCATCTTCGAGCTGGAGTCGGAAGCTCGCGCAGCTTGAGCCGAAATATGGCTAAGGAAATTTACGAGTGTTATTCGTCGGAGCCCGATCCATCAGGGAGCACGGGATTTGGCGCTGAGCTAAGCTATGCCGTGCAACGATCATCCTGAGTTGTTCGTGCCCTTTGACGTGCACGCTGAACTAAGCTATAATACCACGTGCAACGATTATCTTGAGCACGCCAAGCTAAGCTGTACCACTGACTTGTGTAACGTTTTATTGAACGCATTTTGTGGGGGAGCTAAGCTAAGCTATACTACCATGTGCAACGGTTACCTTGAGCACGCTAAGCTAAGCTAAGCTGCATCACCGACGTTTTAGTGAACGCATTTTGTGGGGGAGGAGGGGGAATACTATGAGGAGGAGGACGGACGGACGGACACCCAAGAGGAGGAGTGGGAGGGGACACGCGTGTGGAGACAAGAAATATCAGCACAGACGCAAAACAGGATTCGCTATTGCAAGCGCGGACGCTTAGAACTTTCCTGCCGCCCTCCTTTTCCTACCGATTTCTCCCTCCATCCCCCCCTGCCTTTCTCGTCCTTACCATGTTATTCCTCCATGCTTCTGTGAGGCGCCCCCTATCCCATACCCGAATATCCTCATGGAGCTGCTCATCATCAGCATCCTCCGTATCTTCGCCATCACCCTCCTCGCCCTAGATTTTCATACTCGCCGTCATCATCTGGCTTCCCTCAACATATAAAGTTAACGTGAGAAAAGAGACCGTGCGCCTGCGTGTCCCATGGCACTTGTCACGAAGCACGATCTGCAAATTCGGCGTCAACGTGTTCATCAGAATCTGAATGGGCCTGCGCATAAGTTCAGCGCCCAGCACTTCGTCAGCAGCAGCGTCAACGGTAACCATATGAATACGACGTCGTACAGTGTTGTCTAAATCAGGAACGTGTTCTTCGTTTCTTGAACCGATGTACTTTGTAGAAAACTCTGTTATTATCTGTTGTGTAGCTTTCACGATGCCCTCACCACCAGGGGCAGGATTCACAACCATGCCAAGCATTCCAGATCGAACTTTGAGGTCAGCGTTTACTGCAACAAATCTGCAAACCAGACGGCTCTTGCGAGCATCTCGCATCAATGATATCGATTTAACTGTTCTGAAGAATGATTGGTCTTTTCGCTTCGAGGCTTCGCCTAAGCAGGTAACCATTTTTCGTAGCTTTCCACTGGATCCAACTTTCTCCAAACCTTGATGGGCTGAGCAATTATGGAATAGAATATGGTCAAGAGCACGACGACATTCACCGACAGGTGGTGCAAAAGGGTTGTCTCCGCCAGCATTTCTTAGATAGTAGGAAACAGCTCTTCGGTGGAATCTACTTTTAGCGTGCCGACGTAAGTGCCCAATCTGCAATCCAGCCGAGACCACGCCATCAACATATTGCTTGATATGAGGCGGGGGCTCACCTCCGTGTATCTTAGTAGCTGCCGCCGCACACACGCGACAGCCAATGCCCCAACGCCCACACTGCCGCGTCCCCGCACTTATCCAAGTTCCAAGAGAATCGTTCTCACTGCTGGTTCTCCCCCAAGAAGACGAACACCATTTCTGTTTGTTGCGAGTCCAAATTTGTTTTGCTGAAATTCGGGGGCCGCGTGGCATAGTCCTTGAGCCGAAACGGCTCGTGGAACTTCCGACCTAAGTCCGCCGACCCCTCGCTGGGCCACCAGGAATTGCTGCCGTACTTCAAGGGGGTCGCCACGGTTGGATTCCTTTCGAAACTCGGGTCAAAACGCACCGTTCTTTGCACATATTGCATATCATGTCGCACCAGCCTTATCGTTTGACGCCTAAGCTAAGAAAGTGTGTACGACTTGATTGTTTCGTCGTGTTGAACATATCTAGGGCGTGACTGATTTGGTAAGTTTGTTGATCTCGCAATCGAGCCCGCTATCGATACCACGATCGATCTCACTATCGGTCTAACTATCGATCTCACCATCGATCTCATTATCGGGACACCTAGCATCCCCCTCCTTCTCCTCTTGGTCCCCCAGTGCTCCTCCTCCTCCTCTCCCCTTAGGTCCCCCTCCTCCCCCTGATGTTGACCCCGCCAATCATAATTTAATAACCTGTAACCCCGTCTCCCCTTCTCCCACTATGTTGGCCCCCCAGTCATAACCCCGCAACCCCGCTAAGCGAGGGCAAGCTTCGGCGGCCCCGATGGCGGCGCGTCGCGCCCGCCCATCCTGCCGCGCCGCTCAGAGGATTGCCCCACGCGCGCCCAGGGGGCCCCATGAGGCCGGCCGCCCAAGGCATCCCGCCCCGACCAGCTGTCCCGCGGCCAACGCCATCGCCGGGCCGAACGGCGTCGGCCACTCCGCCGGCGGCGGCGACGGCCCCGCCGTCCAGGGCATGGTCAGTGGGAATGGCGCCGCCTGCGGGGTGCCTGCCTTCGGCGCACCCCCCGACGCCTTGCGCGTCGCGCCGTCGAACTCCTCGCGGCCGGATTGACGGGGGCCAAGGCTGGCCGGGGCCTTCGCCAGATGCGCCGCCACCCCGCCATGAGAGGCGGCACGGCGGTCCTCGCGGCTCGGAGAGGGGCCGCGGCGGCGGCCCACCGAGCGCGGGCGGCGCCGATCGCGGCTGCCACTGCGGCGTCGGTCCCTGCGGCGGCGGCCCCGGCTCTCGCTGGACGCCCTCGGCGTGCGGGAACGGGTCACCAGCTGGCGCGCCATCGCCTCTGCGCTACTGCTGCGGTCGCGGGCGTCGGTGCTGCACCGAGTCTGGCCTGAGCCCCGGCACTGCGTCAGAAGGGGGGAACGACGCCATCGCGGCGGCGACGGGGCAGACGCGCGACGAGCTGCGAGCGGGAGAAAGGGGGGGAAGGGTGGGGGCGGACAAGGGCGGTTGGGGGGGAGAGCAGGCGATGCAAGGACCCCCCCAATTGTTCGCCACCGCTCGGGCCGCGGCCGGCGAAGATGGCGACGGCGCTCTCCCCCGCGCTCGCGCCGGCCAGTGCTGGATTTCCCCTGGGGTCCGCGGCCCCGTCGCGGCGGTGCCGCCCGCGCCCCGCGTGGCCGAGTTCGGCCGGAACTCGGCCACGCGCTGCGCGGGCGGCGGCGCCCTCCCCCAGCGCGCCGGCCCCCCAGCGGCCCCCCCCCCCGAGTCCCCCACGAGCAGAGAACAGGGGGAGGGGCGGGAGGCAAGTTAGGTGCATTCGCGTCAACATCTGACAGCCTACCCCTCCCTCCCATCCCTTACCATGGCGCTGATTTTCTCTATCCGCGGACGCTTGTCGTAGCGGACCTGTGGCTCCGCGCGCGTGTGCGTAGTGGGTGGTGGTGCGCGTGCGTGCGTGCGTGTGTGCGTGGTTGTGGTTGTTGTGGTGGTGGTGGTGGTGGTGTGTATGTGTGTGTGTGCGTGCGTGTGTGCGCGTGTGCTGTGGTGTGAAATGGTGTGGCGTCTTGGTGCTTTGGTGGTGGGCCAGGTGCGTACGTGCGTGATGGCGGTGGTGGTGGCGGTGGTGGTGTGTGTGTGTGTGTGCGTGTGTGTGTGTGTATGTGTGTGTGCGTGTGTATGTGTGTGTGTGTGCGTGCGTGCGTGCGTGTGTGTCTGTGTGTGCGCGCGTGTGATGTGGTGTGACGCGGTGTAGCGTGGTGGTGGTGGGTGGGGTAGTGCGGTGGTGGTGGCGGTGCGCGGTGGTGATGCGCGTGCGTGCGCGCGTGCGTTGGTGGGTGGAAGTGGCGGTGGGCGTGCGTGCGGCGGGGCGGGGCGTGGTGCGGTGCGGTGGTGGCGGGCGGATGGGCGCGCGAGAAAGAGGCCCGCGCTGGGGCGAGAACGCCATCCTGAACGACGGAGGCAAAACACCGATCCGAAAATGAGGCCCACGCTGCAGCGGGAGCACGATTCGGAACGATTCGGGAGCAAAAATGAGGCCGGCGCCTCAGCGAGAGCAGCATTTTGATGAACGCAGGCGAAAACCCAACTCCCGGGAATCCTGTGTGTAAAAAAACAATACGCGGGGGGGGGTCGGCTACTTTCAGGCCGCCTTCGAGGGAGCGAGCGAGGGAGGGAGGGAGGGAGGGAGGGAGGAGGAGGAGGGAGGAGGGAGGAGGGACGAGGGAGTAGGAGGAGGAGGAGGAGGAGGAGGAGGAGGAGGAGGAGGAGACCCCTCTCGGAGGCGTTGTTCCAAAAGGAAGGCCTGGACATGGCGCTTGAGAACTTCCAGGCGGACGCGGCGCGCATGAGGCCCCGTGGACGGGGAGCACACCCATCCAGGAGTTAGAAATAATCACAGACACAAGAATTAGTCGATTCCCCAGGGAATAGCGGAAACTATGGGAAATGGACAGGGAGACGAACATCAGGAAAATAGAAAAAAACGTAGGGAATCCTTGGACTTGTGTCTATTCATGTGTGGATCTTTGGGACCATTCACCCATGTCCACCGCGCCTCGCGGTCCGGACGCGTCGGCCTCGACCCAGGCGGATAGTTACAAGGGCGGCTCCGTGCGGATGCCCCGCGCGGAATGTCTAGGCCTCCCAGAAGGAGTCCGAGTAGATGGGGCCGAAGGATCGCGCAGCATCGACGATGCATCGGCGATGCGTCTCCAAGCGGAGCCCGATTTACCCCACGCCGTGCATCGCCGACGCATCGCCGATGCATCAGCGATACATCGGCGATGCGGCGCGATCCTCCGACCCCATCTACTCGGACCCCATCCAGGAGGCCGCTCGAATGCGTCCGTGAGATCCGCGCCTCCACGGGACCGCGCCTCGGCGTTGAGTCCGCGGGGGCATGGACCCTGACATCCGCCGATGTGATTTTCTCAGCTCGCGGCTTCAGGGGTCCCGACCGGTTCCCCAAGGGCAGTCCTCCGCCCTGGATCCATGGTTTACATCGGCCCGGGGGCCTGGTTGCGGGCACTGGAGGCCGAAATCGTGGAAGAGCGCCTGGGTGGGAAAAAATCACATCTCCGGAGATCTGGGGACGTGGACGTGCTCGCCACTCGCGGCAGGTCGTCCCTGAGGGAGACCGACAGGCTCCTGGAGGAGCAGGCCGCCCTGGCGGAGTTCCGGCAGCTGGGCGCGAGCCCTGCGGCCCAGCAGCAGTTCCTGAACCAGCAGCGCGTCATACAGGAGCTCGGCGGTGCGCGAAGGGAGCTCGGGAAAGGGGCTGCTGCGAGGTCGTTGGACTCGGCTCGTTTAGCTCGTTCGCTCCTGGTGAAGGGTCGGCAGCCGCTGTGGACTTTGATGCAGGACGGTTCCTTTCCCGACTCCGTTCTTAGCCAAGGTGCGGCGAGCAAGCAAGCAGAAGGGGGCAGCCCGCAGACTGAAAGAGCTGTACAGATCTGTACAGTCGAATCTGGGACGGGTAACCTTCCCAAGGGCACCCCTGCGTCCGTGCCTCTTTGGTCCATCCTTGACTACTTTCGACGGCCCGCCGCGCTCGACAAGGCTTCAACACTGGCATCCATGGGGCTTGCATCGTCACCGCGCATCCTTCCTATCAGTTTTCACTGCATCGTCGGAGATCTGTGAGGGGAGGGCGCGCGGGGGAGGGCGGGCGATCGGCCAGAGGGAAGAGGGGCCTCTTGGGCGCGACCGCGCCGGCTGGGCGCTGCGGGCAGCCTGAAGCCTCTCGTGCGCGCCACACCCAGCTGGGCGGGCGGCCGTCTGCCCAGATCTCCAACAATGTGCTTTCGGGCTCGAGCCTCGAGGTCTGTAGGGTTCTACTCTTGGGCTCTAGCCTTCGAGGCTTTCGGGCAGGAGCCTCGAGGTTCGAGGCTTTTTGGGCTCGAGCCTTGAGGCCTCTACAGGGAACTCTTGGGCTCGAGAGAGGCTTTCGCCGCCACGGCTGGACTCCCGGATTCCTCGGAGCATTGGATCACTTGATCAGTGATCCAGCGTGGCCGGATCACCAGATTACTGGATGATCCGTGATCCATGGATACCAGATCACGGGATCACCACATCAGTGATCCAGACAAGCAGGCTCATTAGATCATTGGATCACCGGATCACCCGATCAGTGATCAAATCACCAGATCATAGGATGACCGGATAACCAGATCACTGGATCCGGGGATTAGATATCACCGTATCACCAGATTAAAGGACCGGGTTACCGAATCGATCCAATCCCCAAAAAATGATTCATGGGTTTACGCCACACCGCCGACCCCTTGGGATATCTGGGAAGGCCTTGGGTGGGTGGGGGTTCGTGCAGCATTAACAACCTGGCTCTCGCTATCTCGCGCGGGGCCTTTATCTTGTGCGCTGCCCCTCATGTCGCCGCGCCAAATTGCCGCCGCTTGCTCCGGCCTCGCATCAGGTCCACCCTCAGCAACTTTGTACGTTTGTATGTACTAATGATCGTATATATACACATAAACATATGTATATATACAGAACATACAATCGTATATTGTACACACACGCGTACATAACATGGGCAGGCATGCGTGCACAGAGGTGGCACTGCGCGGTGCCATTCGACAGCGTGTCTTTGGGCTCAAGAATTGGCTCGTGGTGTGTTCATTCGGCGCCAGCGACAGCGGATGATGATGAGGCGCCAGCGACAGCGGTCACGAGCAGATCTCAATTAGTTTTTGCGTGTGCCGGGCATGTACAAATATACGCCAGACGATACACGGGCGTCCCCCCGCAACGCAAGTATGTATATGTATATATACACATATATATATATATGCATATATATATATACATATATATACATATATATACATATATACAGATATGTATACATATGTTTGCATGTATATATATATATGTATACATACGTAGGGGCGTCCCCCTCACCTGATGGCTCGTGGGTTTCTTTCCCGAAGATACTGTGCAACGTCTTTGAAGCACAGGTACGGATCGGACGTCGCCGACGCATTGCGGCGAGTCTCACGCGCGCACGGAATCAACAACGGCGAGTTGAGCTGCTGCGACGCAAGTATGGGGAAAGGAGGAGGCATTAGGTGGTTCAGAAAAGGAGGAGCGACTAGTGACGCAGATCCGTTTCTTTGAGCCGCGACATAGTAGGAGGACTCCGACGAAAGCCCGGCGAGGAGGATCTCGCAGCGTGCGGACGTCCCACCGCGCAGGGTGGAGGTTTTGAAGCCAATTTTTGGTCCTCCGGACCAACGGTGGTGCCTCTTGGAGGGTTTCATCCTCGGAGGCGCGTTGGAGGCTTTGGACAGATCGAGACCAGATCAGAAAAAGTCCAAACCCAATTGTCGTGTGAGGATAATCGCGCTTTGCGGTCTGGCGGTGAGTGCGCATTCTTTATGCGGTCGTGGTAGGGGCTGGAGGATGGTCACGCTCGTTCGGCGCAAGATCCTTTGGCAGCCAGGGCTTCCTCCGACAAGACCGTTCATGCGTGTTTCGTTGGGATGCTCGGGTGTCACTGCGACATGAAGTTTCGATGCCAGCGGCTGTTTCGCAATCTATCCAAAGTTGCCCCACGAGATTCGTGCATTGCGGCCTGGGTTGGCAATGCGTTTTGCATGCGGCTGTTCCAAGGGCGCGAGGAAGGGCACGTTTCGCGCGGCGGCTGCTCCTTTGGCAACGAGGCTCCCTTTCCCGCGCCTCAGGAAGACCATGTGCTTCTTGCAGTTTGTTCCAGTGTTGCTGTGGCTTCAAATGCCGATGGCAGGGTCCACCCCGCAGTCCACTCCAAGGTTGCGCCAGGATAATCGCGCCTCGCGGCCTGTGTTGGAGAGTGATCTTCTTGCATGGGTCATGGGGGGGAGCCGATGGCGACGGCAAAACGGATTAGTGAGGGGTTCTTGTAGCGCGTCAGTGGTGGCAGGCGTTCGGCCAGTGGCTGGTAGCTTGTGCAGCGTCACTTTTGTACATCTAGATGATGCATGGGCGTCCCCCCACATCGCAGGAATACGTATAGGCGTCCCCCTCGTATGCTTCCTGATTGTAGCCTTGTCGAACATATAGTGCAACGTCTTGCTGCGCAGGTCAACATCGCTCTTCGCCGATGGACGGCGGCGAGGCCCACGCGCGCGCGGAATTATGTCCTGGCTAGTCCAAATCCACGCGCGGATTTTTCCCGCCAGCGCGAGTGCCTCCTGGAAGGCTGTATCTCTGGAGGCCCGTGGGAGAGTGTGGACAGGGCGAGGATCAATCCCAACAGAAGTCCACGCCCCAACGGCCGTTCAGGATTGTTCCAGTCTTGCCGTGGCTTCAAATGCCGATGGCGGGGTCGACCCCGCAGCCCACTCCAAGGTTGCGCCAGGATAATCGCGCCTCGCGGCCTGCGTTGGAGAGCGATCTCCCCCCATGGGTCATGGGGGAAGGGGGGGGGGGCGCGAGAATGATCTCAGCGATCGGCGGTGGACTCTGCGACACCAGTAAAAAAACGCGTTCGGTTTTTCCCGACCTAGGCCCTGCCTAGAAGGGTTCTTACTCTCTTAGCTTAAAGGGGCGGGCAGTGGAAATTGCCCCGGGCGGTTCCCCCAGTCCCCGCCCCGCGGTTCCCCCAGGTGCGGCCTCTTAGCTTAGCGTTGCTTAACTCATCTTAGCTTAGCTTAGCTTAGCTTAGCTTCATCTCAGCTTCGCTTAACTGTAGCTTAGCTTTAGCTTAGCGTAGCTTAGCTTTAGCTTTAGTTTAGCTCATCTCAGCTCAGCTTAGCTTTAGCTTAGCTTTAGCTTGCTTTAGCTTAGCTTTAGCTTAGCTCCAGCTTAGCTTTAGCTTAGCTTTAGCTTAGCTTTAGCTTACATGCAGCTTACCTTTAGCTTCAGCTTAGCTTTAGCTTAGCTTCAGCTTCAGCTTAGCGTTAACTTAACTTCAGCTCAGCTTGAGCTCAGCTTTAGCTTATTTACAGCTTAGCTTTAGCTTAGCTTAGCCAAGCTTAGCTTTAGCTTAGCTTTAGCTTAGCTTTACCTTAGCTTTACCTTAGCTTTAGCTTAGCTTTAGCTTAGCTTTATATTAGCTTTAGCTTACCTGCAGCTTACCTTTAGCTTAGCTTTCGCTTAGCTTTAGCTTAGCTTTAGCTTAGCTTTAGCTTAGCTTTAGCGTAGCTTTAGCTTAGCTTTAGCTTAGCTTTAGCTTAGCTTTAGCATAGTTTTACTTTAGCATTAGCGTAGCTGCAGCTTACCTTTAGCTTAGCTTTAGCTTAGCTCTAGCTTTTAGCTTAGCTTTCGCTTAGCTTTAGCTTAGCTTTGACTTAGCTTTAGCTTAGCTTTAGCTTAGCTTTACTGTTACTACTAATGCTGCTTTCCTAGGGGCTTTAACTCCTAGGTAGGGTCGCACTGGGATAATTTTGTCTACTGCACGACGAGCGCTGAGGTGTCACGATGCCATGCCCGACGCAGGTCCTCCTTCAGAACTCCCCAATGCCGAAACCGTTGTGGCTCCACTGCGCAGCCCATGAGGAGCGCCTTTTTTTCGGCTCCCGCGGGAGCGGTGACGCATGGGTGATGAGGCGGCGCTGGACCCCGCGTCGGCGTCGGCTTCGGCAGCCGCTGCCGATGTGCAAGCGCTCCCGCCGCATGCTGCTGCTGCCGATGATGATGAGGCCTGGGGCTCGTGGACGTTGTCTGCAGCGGATGGGAACACTCGCGCGGCGCAGCCACAGACAGCGACGCCACAGCCGCACTCGGAGCCACAGCTAGCGCTTGCGCAGCAGCAGACACCCCAACCAACGTCAGTGGCTCTGCAGCGACAGCCGACACGAGTAAAGAGAGCGCCTTGCCACAGGGCACCATCGCTGCAGCCATCGCCTCGGCGACAAGAAGCACCTCGACCAGAGAAAGCGCGCCCGCGCGATCAGTGGCAGCCGAAGCCCCCGCTGCATCCGCCACCACCAGAACTACAATCAGCGCGGCTGATTGTGGAGTTGCAGCCATTCCCGCAGCATCCGCCACTACAACCACAGTTAGGGCAGCCGCGCGGTGAGCTGCACTGGGCAGTTCCGCAGCTTCCGCCAGCGCCCCCAGTGCCGCCGCCCCCAGTGCTGTTGCGGCCAACGTCAACTTGGGTTCTGCCAAATGCGCAGCGTGGCGGGCGAGCAGAGGCGTTGTCACCAGTGCCTGCGCCAGCGCCGCCCGCGCCGCCGCCAGTTGACCTCAGGGCCCAGGGCTTGCCAAGGTCCCCAGCGACTCCGAGTCCTCCG